CATAATAAAACCTCAGTTCCCAAAGTCCTCCAGCCATAACAGTGTGAATTCCTCAGAGAGGTGAAATTCTCATCATCTTGTTACTCCCACGCAGTCCTGGTGAGCTAAGAAAATGTTTATCTCCCTGAGCTTGGCCTTCATAATTCCATTCCATCACACAAAAAGTGTCCAATAAATTTGATTTACTGCTTTTAAAACTACCATTCTTAAACTAATGTTATCCAGCACAACACGTTACGTTCAAATTATAGTTGGATAGAGGGAGTGGGATAAATTAATCATCACAGGTGAGAGAGTATTGCAGTCTACCAGGATACCCACTAAGATCATGAGAATGTCCTTGTACTCTTATTTCATGAACAGCTAACCAAATTGTGTAATAAATTCAGTTGTAAAACCAAGACTGCTCACAAAGCTACCAACCAAACTGTATGGATAGTCACTTTCTGTCTAGAAGAGATGTTATTTTGCCAAAAAATTATCATTCCTTGCTCCCAGCTAGTTCTGGAGACTTGTTAAAACGTAACTGGAAGGACTTGATCCTAAGCAACGGCACAAGGATTGAGTGATGTTAAGTTATTTTACACCCTTGTTTGTTTACAGTCAAAATGTATACATGGTAGTAAAACTAAATATAACCACAGTTTGCTCATATGAATCATACATGAATCCACCTCATGTAGGAGAGACTAGCTGCATCTATTATGTATTAATTGCTCAAGAAACCAGCTGGGAATCTATGCTTACTTAGGAAATTAATGTATTTCAACAAACTGCCAAAAAACAAATAAAATGAAGAGTCAGACATTATTTGATATTGTTATGCCTATATATACTTTGAACTTTTGTCACTTTTGGTAACACTTGAAAAGCATGTTCACAAACAGAATGTTCTGCTGCCTCCATTTAATAAAAACACTGGAAAGATTATTACAGGTAGTCCTCACTTACCGACTGCCTTATTTAGCGATCACTTGAAGTTATAATGGTTGGAGAAAAACAGCTTTGCGACCAATCCTCGCTTTTACAGCCATTGCAACATCCCACGGTCACAAGATCACCATTTGGGCATTTCACAACTGGTGCACATTTACGACTGTCACAGCATCCCGCAGTCACATGACTGCATTTGCAAGCTTCACAACCAGCTTCCAGCAGGCAGAATTAGTGGAGAATGTGGAAGTGAAATTGCAAGTTGCGGTCATGTGATGTCTCGCTTAACAACCGCAGTGATTTGCTTAACAATGGAAGCAGAAATGATGTAGATCTGGTGTGGTAATGTGATATCTCGCTTAATGACCACGGTGCTTAGTGACAGATTGTGGTTGGTGAGGACTAACTGTAAAGCCTGGAGATTATTCTAATCTCAATATCAGATTACCCTACTATTCCAAAGGGATGCAAGTACGCCAACTATATATGACAACACTTTTCTCTATCATAAAAAAGGACTTACTTCCTCTGTATTCACAATGAGTTTTGCTACAAAGAGGCGAATATTTAGAGGTACAGTAGAATTTCCCAGCTTGCTGTGCAAAAACTTCATCCATGGAGGAAGTTCTTGTGAATCTGTATCCTGAATACCCAAAACATTACAAATCCATAAGTATGAAAGCATACTTATTACAAATTAGTTAAACTGAAAGTGATATATGCCAATTCCACAGAGCTATAATGGAATACTCACTTTTCCTACCACAGGTGTGATGTTATTTCTATGCATATGTTTCAGCAGGGTTGTCATAGAAGCCATACACTCGTGCTGATTGAGCTCATCCATTTCCAATTCCATCACATCATCTGGAACCACAGTATCTGTAATCTCCTTTTAGAATAATAATTAATTTCAATGTTGTCCTTACCCCTCATTTCTCTTCAGATTTTCCCTATAATAAGAGTTCCTATAAGAATGTATTATTATATCCTGTTATTTCAGGATGGTTTATCAGGGAAAGCTTGTCATTTCTCAAAGTCATTTACATATTCTTGTAGCTCTAGTTTTTAATAGAATATGTTGGCAAGAGATTTGTTTAAAATATGAGCTGGGTATGAAATATTATCTGTTCGATATTCCATGTGCTAATCTCCCACTTCAATCAGGTCTCCAACCATTACATATGAAGGACTATAACACCAGCATGATAGCTGCACAAGGTCACTGATTCATAATACTGATATGGTAGCTGGCTCAGTTTAAACCAGGGGTTCCTAAACCTTTTGCCATCACACCTCCCTTTAGTGTAATCTTAATGTACACACCTCCCCTAAAAATCCAAACACCAAAATGAGCACAAGTGAACAATGAAAACAATGAACCTTTGGGAAAGGTGGATTTATTGTAACAATATAACTAAAAGGTTTTCCACATCTCCCCTGGACTCTGTACCTCCCCAAGGGAGGTACACCTCACAATTGGGGAAACCCTGGTTTAAACAAAGCAAAAGTTGCCTGTTTATCACACACCTAATTTATTATTTCCATTTATGTTCTGAGTAACATTCCAATTAGTATATTCATTCCAATTTCCATGGTCTGCACAAGTATTTGAGTTCCATTATTTGATTTAGCCCATCTTATGAAGTCTGAGCAATATATTCAAAAAAACTAAAAGCTTTTATATATGGAGCAAAATTATTCTTACTGGAAAGTTGGCAACAATTTTGTACAATGTGCAGTAAAACAATAAAGCATAATAAACTTTCAAACTGTCAAATTTGCCTGAAGTAGAAAATTGTGATCCCGCGCACATCTCTGACCCCTGCCTTTCTCCCCATAAGGTATTCAAGGCAGCTATTATTAAAATCAAGCTTAATTAGACAACCTATTTAATGTTAAGCTATTCATGCCTATCTATTCTGCCTCTGAGATACTAATGTTGAAACATTCCTATAATTTTCATAGTTGAAATTTGTCATTTAGATTTAAGCAAGCATAGACATATTTGTGACATGGATATGGTAATATGCCTAGTGACTTATGGAATTAATTTTTGCTCAAAAGAAGATAATGTCTAATGGGAAAACAGTGTTGCTGTTAGACCACAGTTACATCACTAGAATTCTAATAATGTATGATTTTTAAACCTTTAGAAAATTTGAAAGGCTATCTAAAGCAGTTATTCATTTGGGCTGAAAAATAGTATAGTTAAGGTATATACTTACACATATATAAGTTAAAATACCTTATTCCTGAAGTGGGAATCAGAACTGGTAGGACCTTCAGAGCTGTATGAAAAACTCTGTATTCCAGTTGAGAAATCAAACTGGCTCATTTCTTCACTTAAACTGCTGTCTACCATATATGATGCAGATGCTAAATAGCGTGGTTCAGCTAGAAGGAAAATAGTCCGGCTGAAATAAGTAAGAAGCTGCCCAATAAAAATCATGGGAGCAGTTGAAAAGACCTTTTTGTATGTTTCCAATAAATAATGCTAATTAAAATTAATTTTATATATCTGGTATCTGTCATTCAGTGTCTTATGTAAATGAAGAGAGATTGGATTTCTCCCTCACTTTAACAAACTCTCCAACAGTTCCATTTGGCTTACTGTTATTCACATTTCATGCAACTGATAATTAAAAAAATGTGCAGAAAGGTATATTCAAACTTAATGTCTAAACTTTAAGCACCTAGTCTAACTAAATTTACAAGGGCTTAAATTAGTAATAACTAACTAGTTTTTAAGAAAACAAAGTATAATTATTGCAGTCTGATACATTTCCCTCTAGTTTTATTTGTTAAGGTTTCTGCCAACCATAACTGAATTATCCATCAGCTATACTCAGAATCCCATCCAATATAAATATAAATATAAATATAAATATAAATATAAATATAAATATAAATATAAATATAAATATAAATATAAATATAAATATAAATGCAGTTCTAGTTCTCTTTCCTGGCTTGACCATTAAATTGCATTTCTCTCTCAATTAAAAAAAAATACTTATTTTCTTAGTTAAACACTAAGTCATGATGTGATGAGGGAGTTGGTTTTCAGCTGGCTTGTTGCAGACCTGATGCTGCTTAGGGCTGAGAGGGAGTGTCAGACCTTTGAAATGAGGATTAGAACCTGGGTCTCCCCCACACCTAATCCAGCACCTTAACCACTATACCACACTTGCTCTCTAGATTACTTTTGCTTATTTCTGCTTTCAAAGCATATGTGTGTTCATGCTCGACACAGAATAAGTTAGTCACCATCAGTTCATCCTTTTTGTAGAAATAGCGCATACCTGAATCCCCACTCATTGCTTGTCTGGCTTCTTTCCTAATAGATATGTACTGTTTTTTCCTTTCCAGAGGAACCTAGAAAATACAAAAAGATTTCAAATATGATCTAGCGTGATTGCCGCTTAATTACAAATTTAATATAATTGTTTACAGACTTTCTAAATAAGCCAAGAAAAATATAACAAAGAATCCTGTGGCATCTTAAAGACTAACAAATGTGAGAGATGACCAAGGCATGAGTTTTTGTAGCTTACTGCCCACTTTGATTCTAGGCACCTGGCTTTGGAGAGGCATGCTGGAAGTCACGCTCCAAAAAGTAGAGAGTCTGGTTAGATAAAATTAGGTTTCATTTACCTAATGGAGAGGTTACACTCCACTTTTAATTTGATTTTTTCTTTTTGTCACATTAAAAAAGACAATTTGGTAACAAACTTTGGGAGAGCTACATAATCACCATGGGGCCTAAAACCGTGAATCAATACTGTAAGAATTCTCCTACATATTCATGTTCTTTAAGATAAGACAAGTTTAGATTCCACCATGCCAAGAATGAGCTTGGGATTCACTGTTATCATTATTAAGCGGGTCAAGAGAACAGGAGCCAACAGAAAGACCTAGGCTAAAATTTGCCAAAGGACAGAATCCATACATGCTACTATAGATCTATATAAGACTACTAACTCAACGAGGTATGCTTTGATACTTGTCTTCTGTAGTTTTGCTAGACACCTTAAGCTAAATGTAGAGCTTTTATAACTGGAAGATGTTCTCTGAATAACCTTATCTGGGAATGCTAAATTCTTGTATTATCTTTACCACATTCCATTATCATGCTAGATAAACATGATTACAATTTTCAGAAAAATGCAAGAAATAGGATTTCTTACCTCAATCTCTATGGGAAATGAATAACGGTGCTGTAAATCCAACAAGTTTTCAAAAATAAGCAGATTCTGTAGAACAAAAGCAAATTGTAATGTGATCACCATGCTATACATTTACTTTATCACAAACATTTATTTATTCAATATATATTGCCACTGCTCAACATGCAACTCAGGGAAGTGTACATAATTAAAAGAAGACAATACTACACATATAAATAAATATAAAAATACAATACAACACAGCATATTATGCCAAAGGCAGTTCAAACACCAAAGCCAATTACTCAAGACTGGCTCACAAGACCACTTGATTCAATGCCTGGGGGAAACCAGGTCTTTTTTAAAGTCAGACAGAGCCAGGACCAGCTCCATCTTGGGAAATGGTATTCCACAGGGCAGGTGTGGCAACAGGGAAAGAACATTTCCTGGATCTCACCAGATGACACAGCTTAAGTGATGGGAACATGCCAACTCTATCAGAACTTATTGGACAGGCAGAGGTAACTGGAGACAAGCAGTAGTGGTGTTACATAGGCATACCAAGGTGCACCCATAACTTCCACACTGCTGCACTCTGGACCAGTTGTAGCTTCTGAATGTTCTTCAAGGGCACCTCTATATAGAGTGCACTGCAGTATTCCAAGTGAGAGATGACCAAGGTATGAGTGAGCATAAGGCTTCTTAATTCAGGAATGGGTACAGTTGGTACACATGAAGGATTTGTGGTAAGACCCTGTGAGCCATGGCTGACACCAGGATGAGTCTAGGAGGACCCCCAAATTGCTCACCAAATCTGTCTGGAGCAGCGAGACCTCATCCAGAATGAATGATGGAGAAAACTCTGGATTCACAAAGCCTCAAAATCCAAGGTCGTTTGGTTTTGCTAGGGTTAAGTCTGATTCAGTTCCTCCTCATCCAGTTCCCCCATAGCACCTTGGTGGCATCACTTGGGCAAGCAAGGACTGAGATGTACAATTGTCTATCATCAGGGCACTGATATCTAACCCTATGTAAGAGATGACCTCCGCAAGCAGCCTCATTTAGACTTTAAAAGGAGTGGGAGGATGAATTTAGCCATGAGACCCTCCACAGAGCAAGAATTGAGGACAAGGGTCACTATCAACAATGACTGGAACCAATCTTGGAGAAAGGAGGAGAACCACTGCAACACCATGATTCCCATTCCCAAAGCCCCCAAATCAGCCCGGTAGGATACCATGATCAATGGTATCAAAGCAGCATATGTTACATTTTGTATTTATTTAATTTATAAAATCAAATAAATATATATTTTGTCTTTCAAGAGGACAAGGTGCTTTACATGAGATCTATCTTCATTGTTTCCCCACGAGAACAACCTGGTGAGGTGGTTGGCCTGAGAAAGAACGAGGAGCCCCAAGTCATCACACAGTTTTCATAGCTAAGGTTAGACTTCAATTTCGGTCTTCTTGGTCTCAGCCCACACTTAGCTACTATATCACACTAGTCATGTGTCCCAAAGTTAATTAAAATTTTACATCATGCAAATGTCAATACAAAACATTTAAATCTTATTGATGGCTTCTATTTGAATCCACACTTCTCAGTTTGAGAAGCAGGCATCCCTTGGTGCTATAAACTCACATAAAATGCTCTAATCCCCCAAACTTGATCTAGTTCACCTGATTTAGATATTTGCATGTCTTAAACAGGGAAAATTCCTCTACCTGTTGATAAGCATAATTTTGCTACTAGAAGCCTGTACTAGAAGATACAGGTGATGGCACTAATCCACACAAATTGCATTAATTTCATCTTGGTATCAATTTATTTATTTATTCATTTTATTTATTTATATAGCTGCCCATCCCAACTGCATGACTCTGGGTGGCTTACAGCAGTTTAAAAACTACAAAAAGCAATACACTCAAGCCACATAAAAGCCTATACAGGCAGTCCCCAGTTTAAGAACAAGTGCCGTTCCCAAGGTCTGTCCTTAACTTGAATGTGTATGTAAGCCAGAACAGTATTATTGTATAATACTGTATAAGTAGTATTGTGTAATTAACTCAAACCATTGTGTATTTATGGCTGGTGTGGGTCTTCTGGACTGTGTGGCCATGTTCTGGAAGTTTTGTTTCCTAACGTTTCGCCAGCATCTGTGACTGGCATTTTCAGAGGGCAGGAGCACAGACAGGAGCAGTTCTCTCTGTGTCCAGCTGCTCCTGTCTCTGCGCCCGCCTCTGATGCTGGGGAAAAGTTTGGGAACAAAAATTCCAGAAA